ATATGATCTCCTTCTGAAAAAGTATAATTGCCTCAATATATTATTTAGACAGGTGTATATTTTTCTGTTCCTTTTTCTTTATTAAGTGATGTGTGTGGTAATCTCAACAGCTCTGGTGAAAGAGGCATGAAACTGGATAACTTGTTCCATTTTTTTTTCCTGACTGTGTTTTTCACCACTACAGCAGTTGTGATTTCTCTGTACATAACTTTTTAATTATGTCCATTTTTTATTGCCATGATAAAAGTCTGTACTGCTAACAAGATCACAAAGACTTCTAATTATTATAAGAAATTACCAATACTCTGAAATTGAATCAAATGACCCAGTCTCGTTTAGATGAAAATATGGTCTTTTTGTAAAACCTTTCTTACTACAGTTTCAAACATTACATTTAAGATAACAAAAAAGAAAATGCATAAAGAGACTGTTTATTTTTAACTGCTCAACATGAAATTCTTTTCTTGATTTGTGACTCATAAAGATCTAAAAGTCTTTCTTATTGAGTGAAAGACACTAGTAACTTTCAAGGGTAACTACCACAGGACAGTCGCTACTAAGTTTGTCATACAGCCTATTCTTTCATAGGTTCAAGCTAGACTAAGCTGAACTTTGTAAATATGTGTCCAAGTCATGAATATTTTATTACATACTGATCTATTCATACTAGTATAATCTAATAATTTTCCTTTGTTGGCTAAGCATAGAAATGAATGCCATATGGGAGCCTTTAATTAAGAAAAGAAAGAAGTTTTAAACTTGAAAATTCTCCCATCTAATTACATTACAGGTGTTGCAAGAGTTCATCTACTTCAGTTCAATTGTAGAGGCAGACAAGCAACATTAGTTTTAAGGCCCCATTACAGGTGTTGCAAGAGTTCATCTACTTCAGTTCAATTGTAGAGGCAGACAAGCAACATTAGTTTTAAGGCCCCAGGTTTCCATTACCAAATTGTCTTAAAATAACTTAATGGATAAAAGTGTTAGTTAAGTGAACCTAACATTTTGTGTTCAATCCCTTTTGTTTAACCTGTGAAACTGTCAAGCATAGACTTCAAAAGCAAATTAATGTTTTCTTCTCTGAATAAATTGTTAAAAGCACTTATGGAAAATGGTAGGCTTTTAATAAATAGGTGGGACAGGGTAAATCAACAGTATTTGTTAGCTAAGGATGAAGAGTTCATTCCTTGAGAGGATTAGGATTAACAATCTCCATAATAGTTATCAGAAAGGTAAAAGGACATAGTTAAAACCTGGGTCAAATAGTGAAAGAAAAGTCATATACTCTGGTTCAGGGTAACATACAAGCAACATTTAATTACAAGAACGAATTGGAAAAATGAAAAAAAATATGCCCTATATCCTCCTATAGATTGAATAAAGTGTTCCTTTGAAATTTATATAATATTTTTTTATAAAATAGAAAGAAGAATCTGCAATATTATTTGTCCTGACCTGGCACCAGTCACTTATTAGCCACCACCATAACAGATTCTGTTATGGTGATGGCTGATAAGTGACTGGTATATTCCATTTTCTATAAATATTTTCATGGTAACTGTTCTGATGTGCTCTCCTCTTTGGTACTTAAACTTTATGAATTTAAGTGCAGTATTAGATTGGCAGAAAGCTGTTATTATATTACAGTTGAAAAAGATGTAATTATAATTTATATGCTAACAGTTTCTTCTCTCACACTTCTCACCTGTAGAACTCTCTTCCACTTTGAAGTTCAAAAATTTAAATGCAATGTAGATCATTATCTTCTGTCTTAATTCCTGTCAGTTTTTGTTTTTTTTTAAAAATTTATCTCTCTCCTTAATAATGTTTCCTTTTTCTCATATTCTCTAACACTCAGTAATCCCTTTCTTCTTAGTGACTTAATTGTCTTGCTTTCGGTGAAATGAGTAAAAAGAAAAAAAAAATTAAAAAGAAAGTGTTGCAGAATATTTTTCTGAATTTTTAAAAAAAATACCATTAAAAAAGACAACTGATTCTTGGTTCAGTGCACTGTACATTCTTCAAATTTTTCTTCTCATATTTGGAATTTGTGGGCTGTATTTGAACAAGCAGATGTTTGTCTGCCTGGCTCCGAGCTTGATTAGAGAAGGCAGAAAATAGGCACCTGCTGTTAACATGTTCATCTTATTAGACACTGAGTTCCTTTTTTTTTTTTTTTTTTTAGCCAATGAAGATGACCTTTTGGCACAGCTTAAACCAACAGATTGTGTTATTAAGCAGAAAGAATTAATGCTAATAAACCTATGTTGGTGTCACAAGAAATAAATCGATCAAAGCAATCAATTTAGTCCGAATTGGATTCCAAATTATAACAAACATACTTCATTCCCTTTGTTATCATGTCCCATTAGAACATCAGCAATCATGGAAGTTTTCTTTTGGATATATAAACTATATTTCTATGACAGTTCTCAGGAAAATCTATAGAGCAGTTTTCTGTTGCCTTTTCTCGAGTTTTGAATTAAGAGTTATCTTTCTTTAGACTGGTTGCTCATCAACACTCGAGAAAAAAAATTTTGTTTTTTTGCTATTTATCCCATAGATTGTGATGTTGAAGAATGTGTGATGAAGAAATGGTTGCATTTTTTTTTTTTTTAAGGGTGTGAAATAAACTCTCCCCATTGGAATTTGAACTCAGATTGTCAATTTCATTCTCTCCAAGGCTGGCTCCTAAAAAACATACTAGACACAAAATACACATGCAAAATATGAAATGTATTTGTTTGCCTATTCAGTAGCTTTTCACCATAGACAGGATTACCACACATGAGGAGCTCACCAACTACCGTTGGTCTTATTCATGATTGGCTCAAATAAAACATTGGTGTTTAAAACTTTTACTCAACAAAAACTACATTACAAAATATATTTTGAGGTAGGGAATATAACAAACAAAAGGAACAGAGGTATTATTTATTATTTCAAATTTATTATATTTAAATTTTATTATTGAGTAGAAGTACTCATGAAAATTTCATGGTTTTCCAATTTGAAATTCTTCTTGAATCTTAATCCTTAAGTTACTGATTGAATATAATCCTTGCAATTTCCACAAGCACAAAATACCCATGGAAATTCTCCAATTGCCTTGGTAAATGTTATAACATGCTTCGTAGCACTTATAAGTAATGCTTTGGTAACTTGCCATGATATCAGTATTACTTAGTTTGAAGACGGACTCCAAACAGCTTCTTTTCCTCTTACATTTGACCTGGAGCTCTTTATTTATGTTTATGGACTAGTTCATATACTCACCAGTAGTGCACTATTTTTACTCCACAACAGTAAATATTTGTGCTTAAAAAAATATTACAATAGTAATCATAAATGTGGTTAATATTTAAGTAAGATGGTACAAATAAAAAGATTTGAAATTGAGAAGTTTCTCTATTTCACGGAAGCAGACATTAAATTTATGAGAGTGTTGTCACTTCTTCTATCACCTCTTTCTTTCTATTTCTCAATGAAACTAAACAGCATTTATAATGTCTTTTACCGTTTTTTGTCATCATCAAAATAGAAAAGATCATTATGAGGCATTGGTAGTGCAGTCAGTCAGTTATATGCCATGTGTGATACATGCTTAGGCGATCATGTATCTTTCTATACATGACTGACTAGGCAGATTTTTTTCCCACAGTAGGTGGTAGGGCATAACGTATGTGTTAACCAACTAATTAAGGAACATGCAGAATTATAACAGGATAGTATTTTAAAAATACAAAAGAATGAATGGATTTAAATTTCCCTAAAATGCTCAGCAAATTAAATGCCCTGAAAGTATTAAAATTTTAATTACATTTTTAAAATATGGTTTAAATTTGCTCCTAGAATTTTTAAAATGCTTTCTTATGTGACACATGCTATCAATTTTTCTGTTCACATCTTCCACTTAAATGAGAGGAAAATTTCAAATTAATGAAGTAGCCATTAGGTGATACTTATTTGAAAGAATTTCAGGGCATTAAATTAAATATTTTTTTGATATTTTTAAATTGTAATTATTATTGTTAAAGCTGTAAGCCTACATTAAAAAAAAAATATGCCTTTGAAATATATTTTGCAAAGTAGCTTTAGTTTAATAAAAGTTGTGAACCCAAAAGTTTTTTTTCTGATTGGGCTAAGTGTGAATAGGTAGAACAGATATTCTTCCACAAAAGCATTCTTTTACAATTATATGTAGATTTAATGATGTTATCCTATATATATATATATAAAGTTTGCTCTATCTCACTAAAATAATGTTTGAATTTTAATCTATGAGTAGGCATTTTAGCTGATAAAAAAATGACAGACTATAATACTCTAATCATCCTTTTAAGATGATATATATATATATATATAAAAACATTTTTAGTGATACAGAACTTGAGTATTGCTGTAAAAATGTTAAGCTGAATATTATTTGGCATAATTAAAAAATTGATGGTAAAAATAAAAAAAATGAAACAGGAAAACTAACCGGTTTCACTCTTGCTCTTCAAAGTTTTTAATCAGAAGAAAAAGACTAAAATACAATAAATCTAATTAGCAAATAATTGATGAGAGGATAGAGAAGGGAAGAAGAAAAAAAAAAGGTCAGTGGAGTACTAGGGAGTAATGATAGCAAGCCCCATCAAACAATCACACTGTTTACAGACAGAGTGTTTGTGAGAATTGATATAAAATTATATATATATATATATATATATATATATATATATATATTATTTTTACTTTTCTTGGTATTTTTGCTGCTTTTTATTATATTTCTATGCTGAACTATTTCTTAGACTTTAAATTAAATTGCAAGAATTCAAAACAAAATATTATATTGAAAGAATCAGATGCTTAAGAGAATCCCCCACTGATCATGGTCTAAGGCAGTGTCTCAGAAAAGCAACATCTTGAAGGATGTGATGCATGTTCAAGTCATGTCCAAAGCTATTTCTCTTAACAAATATATAGTGGATTTTTTAAGTTTCTTTTCATTACTGGTCTTACGATCATATCACATTGAGACACCAGTTCTCATACAATCACCAAAGTTAAGCAACGTTGCGCTTAGTACCTAGATGGGTGAGTACTTGGGAATACCAGGTGTTGTAAACTTGGATGTATGCATGGTTTAATGGATAATGGCTCAGATTTGAATATAGGAAATCTGAGTTAAATACCTGTTGGGTTTGTTGTATTCACTTTTGCACAAATATCCTTGCAAAAAGTATAAATACAATCCTTGATCCTCCCTTCTTATTAGTAGGATTTATATAAGAAAATTATTATTATCCCCCCAAAATTCTTACAATCTAAAAATATTTTCTGGCTCTAAATAACCTGCAAAGGGTTGATAAGTCATAAAAGACAAATCAATCAAATCATTACCAAAACTGTCCCCAAAACACCAGTGGTGTATTTTTTAAGCTTTTGAGATTCAATGTCAGATGGCATTTTGCTTTCTAGTCAAGTTTGATTTTCAAAAGTTTAAATACAATATCAATAGTTATCTACTGTCTTCCTGATTACTCTTCTTTTATTCTCTCTTCTTGAAAATGTTTCTTTTTTATAATTCTTTCACACCCAGTAACCCCTTGTGCCTTAGTGGCTTTACTGCCATGTTTGGGGTGATTTCAATTAAAAAAAATAAAAAAGGCAAATAAATTTAAAATTCCACTATTTTGGTCCTGCTTTTAAAGAAATGAAATTTAGTTGTGCTGGTTTTTCAAAAGTAACCCAGTCTGGCAATTCTGACCTTGAGAACTGGTTATATGGCTAGAATATAATTTGACAATCACTCCTAAGGTACTGTAAAAATATGAACAGGGTTGATCAACCAGCAGTAATATGCCATGACCTTTCACAAAATAAATACATTTCTTCATCATTAACCTATAGATATATAGAGAAGGTGCATTTACATCTTTCAATGAAAGGTTGACTACACTCAAGAAAAAATAGCTTTTTGATACTAGATTGATTTTAAAGTAACAATTGTTTGATTGAAAACTTGTAAAGATGAGTCATCACAGAAACATATTTTGGCAGATTTATAAAACTGCCATATCAGATTATAATGCTGAAGATATTTGAATTCAAACTGATTCAACTCAAGTTTCTGTGAATTAGCTGTTTTAGAAAGAAGTGTTCACTTCTTTGCTTTGTTATATGCTGAAAGATTACAGTTTCTCTTCTTTTTTTTTTCCTACAAATGTTGCAAAAACAAGAAAATACATATCACAACTTATCAATTTCTTTCTCCCAACATTTCAATAATTGAATATCATTTTAAATAAACTGAGATTAAAAGTTATATGATTTTTCTTAGTCTTTGAGCAGAAAAGAAAAAATAACTGAAATTGAATGGAGGCTACATATGCCATAAACCCAACAATTGTGTTTCTTCGATAAGATTCCGAGTTTACATCAAGGGAGAAATTACTTTCTCGCCATAAATTCCAATCATACAAATCTTTTTAATTTTCTTCAAATTGCAAGGGCACATTTTCTCAAAGTCCATTTACTGTCAATTTTTAGCAATTTCTTTTACTGTATGTTTAAAGCAAAGTTCACAAAGTTTAATCCATTGCCATGTAAAAATCATTTGCAACTAATAGGTTTGCTTTCATGCATTTGTTTTTTGAGATTTAAAGCAACAACATTAGAGATGCTCTTTAACAGTGACACAAAGCTAAAAGATCTGTTTGATGGTAGAAGTAGCTGCATATTCCCTTTCAGCACCAAAATTTTTATTTGTTGTGTCTAGATTAAACAGAAGTTCAAATATTGAGTTTTAATCTATCTTAGTGGATTAGACCAGTGATTTTCAGCTGATGCTGTGAGATGATCATAGGTGTGCCACAAAAAGATTTAAGGTTCCTTAATTAAATTATTTTTGAAAGAAGTCCAAAGCACAATAATTATGTATCAAAATTAAAACCTCTTTGAATTGATTATATGAGTATACCATTGTGATAATAAACATACTAATGTATAAAATAATATAAAAAAGCAAGCTTTTTTGCAATAAACAGTATTAAAAACAAAAATGATCAGAGCTAGACTAGTTGGAAGATGATGAAAGAGAATACCTGTTCAAAATTTGACCTTGTAAAGAATATATTCTAAGGAAATGTCAAACTCAGATATCTCATTAAATGTTAACATATAATACGCAGAAAAATAAAGAAATATTTTTCAAGAATTTTAAATATCTTTTTATTACAAATTATAATAAAATATTTTGTTTATGTTAATGAATAAATCATAAAAAGTACAATATTTTTTCTATGTTCTCAGTTCGGAAAAGTTTACAGACAAGTGTTCAAATTGGAAGCTGTCGGTGGTTGTGTGAATACAAAGTCACAAAACATCATGACCGAGAGCTTGACAATACAGGCCTTGTTCACTTCTCCCTTATGCATTGTTTCTCTTCAGAGTGTAAGTGATCATGGCTCTCCACAATTTCCTGTCCTTCATAGCTCTCAATAAATATTGTCTTTTTATTATTTCTTCTAAACCCTGTTCCACTCAAGCTCAGTAAGTATGTTATCCACTGTTTTCCTCTGTCCCTCTTGCCTTCAATCTACCCTGTGAGTATCAGATTTTACAAGCCCTCTTTTCTCATTAAGTGTCCTAGATATTTCAGCTATCTCTTCCTAAAGTTAAATATAAGTTTCCTTTTTGTATCCATTCTCTTCAAAACCTTGTCATTACTCACATGTTTGTTCCATGGTATCCTCAACATCTTTCTTGTAGAAGTACATTTTTGTTGCTTCAAGTCTTTTCTTCATCTTTGAGGAGATTGTTCAAAGTTTACTGCATATAGGAGGACAGATATCACAGTTCAATACTCTTTTCTTTGTTTCTAACAAAGTTTTTCTGTCTCTTAATACTCTACTTAGCTTTCGAAATGCATCTTTGGCTATCCCAATGCACCTTTGGATTTCAGTGCCAACCTTTCGGTACTCTGTTAAAACACTTACGAGATATGAAAATTTTTGTATTTGTTTGATTTTGATATCTCCGATTTGTCATTTGCATTTTGGGATCATCCTTTTGCTGAAAACCACGCATTCTGTCTTCTTGAAATTGATGTTTAATCCTTTTCTTCTCATTTTCCTTCACTACCTTCTGTAAGAATTCAAGTTTTCTTTCCATGTCTGCTATCAAAACTGTATCATTTGCATATCTTATGTTAAGATTGTGGCCGCCAATAGTGAATCCTGGTAGGATTTCTAATTCTCTTTGAATCAGTTCACAGTATAGGTTGATTAAGTTTGGTGAGAAGACACATTCTTGTCTTACACACTTTTCTATTTTTGTATATCTGCTGAACTCATTTTTTTTTACCCATATGCACACAGTTTCCTGCCAGTATAAGTATTTGATTATTCTAGTATCCTTCCCAAATATGTCCAGGTTGTCAAGCTGCTCCAATAGGACTTTGTAGTGTACTTTTTGCATTTGTATTGCTCTTTCTGATATCATTGTGAGCATAAATATTGCTTGTTCCAGTATCTTTAATGAAACCACACCGTTCTATTTCTGGTCTGATTCTGCCCTGTGCACTATTCATCAGAATTCGGATGATAAGTTTTGTTATATGGCTCATTAGGCTGATTGTTTGCAAGAGTTCCCATTCGTTTGCACCTGGCTTCTTAGTCTGTGCTATGAAAATAGATCTACTTATGTCTTCATTATATCACACCACTGTTGTAGATACATTTATTGCTTCAGTAATCTTGTTCATGCCGAAATCATATAAAACTGCTATTGAAATTATAATGGAGGCATCTCCATTACAATTTCATCTGACCCTGCTGTTTGTTTCTGTTCAATTTGGCTAGAGCTGTTTCCACTTCAGATTTTAATATTTCTGTGTATTGCTTTATTTCTGATACTCATTCTTTAGATTTCTGCACATATTTCATTGAGCCATTCCTTTTTAGCATGCTTGCATTTATTCCTGATTTCTTTGTGCAGTGTCCTATATTCTATTCCATATCTTGACAGATTTCTGTCACTTCACTTAATGGGTTCTGCTTAAAGTTTCCATTTTCATTTTGTATATGTGTGTGTGTGTATATATATATATATATATATATATATATATATATATATATACTAGCAGTAGAGCCCAGCGTTGCCCGGGGATGTAACAGTCAGAGATAGATCAAGTATCGACCATCATAAAGACTGAAAAATAAAATTGACAAAGATTATTGTTTAAGGTTGACAGATATGCATGTCTTAATTAGTTTTTTTTTTTTTTTTTACGAATTGGTCAAACCCAAACTCAAACAAAAACATTGTTTTCAATCATTATGTGTCTCTACCGATTGAATAGAATTTTATTATAAACAATTGTTTTGTAAATGGAATTTTTAAAGCATTCTGAATGTAAAAATAAAGAAAAAAGGGTGCATGACAATAAGAAACACTACCTGCCAAAAAAAAAGTGAAGTTTTGTTGAAATCGGTTGAAAAATGTAGGAAATCCGATCCCATATATAAACAAACACACACACACAAACAACCTGGGTTTTATAATAAGTATAACTCGATATGAGTTGTCCCCCTTTCATTCTCGCGATAGTGATGCCTCTTAATTGTGTTTTCAAATAGATTTTGTGTAAAAACAATTGTTTTTCCAATTTTTGGTGCTGTCAGAACCACCACAAGGTAATTTTACATTTTGTTGAAATCGGTTGAAAAATGTAGGAAATCCGATCCAATATATAAACGAACAGACACACACACAACCTGGGTTTTATAATAAGTATGATATATATATATATATATATATATATATATAAATAAAAAACATTTGACCATGTATTGAATACTGCTTCCATATCTAGTCTGGTGCTAGCGCTGTACCTCTTGTGATTCTAGACAAAATCAAAAGGGGTCTCTAATGTGATTGATCCTGATCTATCGTCACATTCTCACCAACATGACATGGCTTCCATTTATCTTTTCTATAAATATTTTCATGGGAAATGTTCTGTTGAAGTTCTTTTTTTTCCCCTAGTGACTCAACTGCATAAATTTAAGCATGCTACGAGATTGGAAACTATGTCTCACCATTTTATTCTTGAACTAGTTGGA